CGGCGCGACGCGGAAGGTCGTCATGGCCACTTCCACCCAGGTACATGTCGTTGAGAGTCACAACTATCTCATTCACCATGTCGAGCCTGTGATGGCGGCGGTGTACCCGCCGAGCAGCTGTCCGAGAAAGGGTCTTCGTGTTCTGAAGCGCTGTGGAGGAAGAAACAGGATCAGGGCGAAGAGGGATCGGGAAGACATCGCGCTGGCGACCATCCCGGCGAGAAGAATAGCGGCCCCTACGTACATCACTGACTCCAGGCGGGGAGACTGAAGCCGCCCTCTGTTGCATCTCGGGCGGGTCGAGGGGCATCCCGTCCGAGGTCACTCTCATTGCCCCGAGAGGGCGCGGCGCTCCTCACGCGCCTTGCGCAGCGACTTGAGGATGCCCGCGTCCCTCTCTACCATGGCGGACACGTGGTGTAGAAGGTCAGGACACACCATCATCCCCCCGTCCTCCTTCGATGTCCCGGCGAAGGCGGAGGCCTCGTCTAAGAAAGCAGACTTGGCGAAGCCACGGCCACGACCGCGTCCCTTCTTGTTCTTGTCCTCCGATGCCTGAGGGGCCGCGTGTAGTGAACCCTCCGCCTCCATCGCGTGCACGTACTCGCACAGCTGCGCCTGTCGCATGGCCACTTCGACGCCCACGAGGTCTGGGAGATTCACCTGATCCCAGCAGGCTAAGAACTCGATCATCCTCATGATGCACTCGTAGTGGGCCACACCGTAGTCATCGTTCGTCAAGTGGTACTGGCTCTTGAACTGCGTGAAGTGCTCCAGCGGGCCCCCGCGGCGTCGGTCAATGAAGACGAAGCGCCACGCAGCCGAACGGGGGCCCTCCAACGGCCATCCTGGAAGCGGAGTCTGCTCGAACTTGGCGACAGCGTCCCGAAACTGAATCCGAGGGCGATGGCCGTCTGACTGCAGTGCGATCCCCAGGAGCCTGGCGTCCAGTCCAGCCTCAGCGCCAGCGTAGAGCGCCAGGCTGAGCGACACCCGTCGGATTCCGATCCAGCCCTTGTCGGTCCTCATGATCCCGACGTCGCCTCCGAGTCGCTCCGTCCCATTCAAGGCCACAACCGTCCCGCGGTCTCCCGCGGCGGTCGTCTCCGTCATCACCCACTCCGGAGCAGCAGGAGCCGCGAATGGACCTGGGCCCGCGACCGCCCCAGGGGCCGCCGCTGCCTGCCCAGGCGCTCCAGCACCCACGGGTTGAGCAGCGGCCGCGCCACCAGCAGCGACCCAAAGACCAGGTCCCCGCGCGGGCCCTACGCCCACCAGAGCGGCCGCACCTTCAGCGTTGCCTCCAGCAGCGCCACCGTCGGCTCCGACCAGCTGCTGCCCAGCTCCCGCGCCGCGCAGCCCGAAGTCGAAAGCCCGCAGCGCGCCTCCAGCAGGCAACACAGCAGCGCGGCCTCCAGCGGTCTCCCGAGCCAGGTACGTCTCGTCGGCCACCTGAATCACCGCCGCCATGACTGCGGTCTCCTCATTCACAGTCAAGCGTCGCCTGAACCCGTACAGCAGCCCTGCATCCAGACCTCCGCGGTCACGACGAGTGTCCACGAACCGCACGCCCAGAATGTCAGCGCTGTCCCTGCTATAATCTTCTTCATAGACATCGTGATCAGGCGTGCTGCTGATCAGCAGCAGACGAGTCTGAGGTCCAGTTGGCGGATCCTCTACTTGCCCCCAAATCCGACGCTGATGCCACCGCCGCTCGCCGGCGTATAGCACCCACGCCCAAGGGCGGACGTCCGCCGGCGGGGCGACCATTGTCGATGGCGGCAAGAGATCGGCGGCCTGGTAGTCGCCAAGAGCACACGTTCTTCAGGCAAGAATATCCCAAGAGCACCGCCGCCTGCACCAAAGCGATCAGCACGTGGAGCCACAGGGCCACGAACTCGCCCAGCCAGCCGCCCGACTCCGAAGAGGCCTCGGTCGGTCCTGACGTTGGATCCTCACCCGGAGCAGCGGCGCCAGAAGGCCCAGAGGCAGCAGCAGACTCCGCCGCAGGCGGCGGCACAGGAGGTGTTGAGCTCTGACCTCCGCCGGCGGTCCCGCCGGCCTGCAAGGGACTCAGGCCCGTCGGACACTGCAGATGCGGGCAGCTGGGACAGTGCAAGGTGGGGCACGATGGGCAGCCAGGGCACGCAGGACAAGGCTGCGTCCGCCACCAGTATGCTGTGAAGAGCTGAGTGACGGCGCCCACGAGCCAGAACCCGTTGCGGAGTCCAGGCATCTGGACGCCACAAAAAGCTTGAACGTTGATGCAACAACGGTCGCAACGGCGCCCTCTCATCCTGACTCGCAGAGAACACCAGGCACGCCAGAGCAATATGCATGCTCGCGTCCCCCCCGCTCCCAATGTACTTTCGATTCCCGCTCATCAATCATGTGTATTCCCCCTCCTGTTCCACCTCATCTCTTCTCCTCGTCGTTTCCATTCCTCTTCCCTGTGTTCCTTCGTGTTTGCGTTTCTCATGCGCCACGTAATCGTCCCTACCATTACGACCACCATTACCAGCATCACCAACAAGCAACGCAATACAAACAGTAATAATACTGACTGGAATGAGAACTGACTGTAATGAGAACTGTGCGAACATATGGAACATAGTGGTGACATACGTCGTACTGGCTGTGCTGGCAATACTACATGGGATACGCAAAACGTTGTGCAGTGAGATCGGCAATCCGTTCTGCAATCACCCTCGTGGGGAAAACCGTTATGTGATATGTAGCCGGACCTGCATCAAAAACCATGAAACGACTTCGTGGCTGAACCCGGCTGTAGTAAAACCCCTCTCCAGCATTGCCACGCAAGCTGTAGCAAAACCAACTGTAAGACACTTCGCAAGAACAATTGTCGGACCTGTGGTAAGAGCCGCGGGAGGGTTGCACAACTCGTTATAGTGGGCATACCTGCGTACGACCTGTTCTAGGAAGTGTGCTATGGGCAATCGCAAGAGCTGCGCCGAGAATTCTACGGCCCACTCAAGTAAGATCTAGAACGGGAACTCGAAGCAATGTGACGCCAAAGAACTGCAGTAGGCGCTGCCGTAATATATATATATATATATATAATAAGCCTTGTAAAACAAAGTGTCGGAAGGGCCGTACAACTGGTAACACGAAGAACTGCACAAGAAGCTGTAGAGAAGGCGTATTGTCTGGTGGATTTGGATATGCGCTGGTGATTGCTGCTGCATTCATAGCAGAAGAGCTACTAGGCACGATGTGCAAACTTGTACTGCTCGCTGCAATGGCATCTGCAATACTAGCTGCACTCCGCTACCCTAAAGGATGTGCCACATGCGCTGCAACAGGAGCTGTAACACAAGTGGTAATGTGAACTGTACTGTCAGTGGGTGGCTGGTGTCGAGATTGTTGTATGAGCAGGTGTTACGGGACAGGAGCAGGTGTCAAGGAACGTTGTTTCGGGCTGTGGTAGGGGCTGCATTAAGACTTGTTAGAGGAGCTGCCGTACAGAGGCACTACTACAAGGTGTAGTAGGAGCTGAGGTGATTGGAGCTGCCCCACTCGCTGCGCCGAGGAGAGATAGTATGACCTGCAGTAACACACGCATTCCACAATCTATTAGGAACGATCGCGAGAGCCGTACTTCGATACGCATAAAAAAGAAACTGTAGTGGTAGACGCATTGGAAGCGGTGTCCTGATGTGTACTACTTGTTGTAATTGGGATGTAAATGGAGGCTTTACTAGGGACTGTGCGGAAAGCTCTGCTACTAGCGGTAGTGGGAACTGCCATGCGACTTGCGCTGGGATATGCAATATGATGTGCAACATGCAATGCAGTCGGAGTTCTAGGAGGAATTGAAGTGAGAGCTGTACTACTGGCTGTAGCAGGAACGGTTGCATGAGTTGTACTACTGCTGTTGTTGTAGGATCTGCAGTGGAAGCTGTCGAGCGAACTGTCGTAGGAGCTGTCGCGGAAACCGTAGCGGAAACTCTGAAAGAATGGCAGCCGGACTTGTAGCGAGACCAATCATAGAGCTGTGATGGATCTTCCTTCTCGTCCCCGTGCTCCTCCTCTTCCTCCTCCGGTTCCTCCTTCCACGGGCAGCGCGCCAGGACGGGCGATCCATCTCCTCCCACTCCTTCTCCTCCTTCACGCCCGCCCCTCCCTGGACGCTGCGCTGGGCAGGGGGAGCAGTGAAATCACAGATGATCCACATGTGAAAAAAGGTTGTGGTAAGGAAGCCTGGTGAGCACACGGGGAATCCGATCAATACGGGAAGGTGTTTCTTAGGACACCCTGTGAAAACGCTGGTACTCCAGGTGTTTCCAAGGTTTCTGAACACGGCTCACCCAACCTCAACCTCCTGCTCCCGCAACATCCTTGCGGCGCGCGGGTCTTCAAAAACCTGGAAATATCTGGATCACCAGTTTCTTTTCCACCAGGTGTCCTAAACCAAACCCTAACATGTATATTGACTATCTGCGCTGTCACCTGGCATGCATACCAACACCTGTAAACATTTCTGGGGCACATTTGATGGCACAGGGTGTTCTAACAAAAACCTTGAAACAGATGTGTAATCTGTTGTCTGACATATTCCTCTGCCTGGCGCAGCGTCCCTGGGGCCCAGTGGGCCTCCTTGAGGGCCCGCTTGGCATGTCCAGGCTAATTTGGAGGGCCGCCTTGCGCCATCTTCGGCGATGCTGGGCGCCTGTTGAGCAGTCGTGGCGCCCTCTTGAGGTCTGTGTTGGTCCTCTTGGGCGCCTCTTGGGCCGTCTCGGGGCGTCGGGCAGCGAAGCAGGCGACCACACGAAATCTCTGAATCAACCAAAAAAAGAAAACCATCCACATATTCATATATGTATGTATGTATGTACGTATGTAGGTAGGTAGGTAGGTATATATAAATATATTCATGTATAAATGTGCACATGGATGTACATAGAACATTGGCTGGGAGTGGAAACATCAAACATACGCCCGACACTTCTGAAATCCTCCTCCTCCTCACTGCGCATGTCCTGCTGCCTGGGCGCGTCGAAGCTGTCCGACGCCGCGAAGCTGTCCGCGAACGCGGCCTGTATCCTGTCCCACTTCTGCCGCAGAGCGGCCGCGCTCCAGGAGTGGTCGTCGCCTCCCACCCCCCTTGCGGTGGCAACTCATGGGGGCCTCCCATACCATCTCGTCGGTTCTATCAACGCGAATCGAGGCTAGTCGACGCTAATCGACGCCAGATCGACGCTAAATCGGCGCGATCGCATCGACCCCCGAACGCTTATCGACGCTAGTCGACGCTAAAAACGGAATTACGATGGCATACAAGGCTCCCATGCTTTGCTATCGAACCCCCGTCTGGGGGAGGAGCGCACGAACGAACGCTCGAAACATGCACTCTCCGCTTCGCAGCCCCGAAGGCAACGCCCGTACACGCATCCACTGCGTCCCAGAGTTTCGGAACCACTTCTCTCGAAAACCCGAGGGTCATGAGTATGGACAACATCTGACCTCTAACGAGGGTGTATACGCATACATACCAAACAATCAATCAATGCTCTGAGGGGCAGTGTTCCACAAGTCAGCACCTGAAAAAAGGTGCGCTGGTCACTGTGGCCAGCACTCCTTGCATGGGTTAAGGCTTGCTGGCTGTATAACCTTACCCAGAGGGCCTGCGTTTAGGAATCAGCCGCATATGCTGGGGGGGAACCCACAGGCAGTCTGCAGCGCCCTGTGGTGGGGGACTTAGGGGCTGCCCTGCACCACGAGGGCAATGAGGAGCCCCTGCACGTTGAAAAAAAAAACTCGGGGAACGGCGAGTTCAGCAGTCCTTGGCTTCCGAAGGCGAGGCCAATCCCCCTCTCCACCACCCACCCGCCTCCTGTCGGGTGGAGCCCGAAGGCAAGACCCGAAGGTCGACCACCTGGCAGGTGCGAGGAGGCGTGAGAGGGGGAGGACTCCGTCCAAACACTCCGAACGCTGTTCCAGCGATGCGGGGCAGCGGGCACGCGCAGCGTACTCAGTAGGCGTTCGAGATGACTGGGAACGAGTTGGTGTCATCGTCAGCCTCCTTCAGCGTGTCACTGACGCTCATCCTGTAAGACTGGGCCCACATCCATATCTCCCCAGAAGGCTCGCCATCCCGAATATTGAATTGGCCCTCTCAACTCAAATGTCGAGAGCCAAAATTTTGTGTTTCGTACGACGTCGTACTGGAGCGATTGTCATAGATCCCATGGCCTGGCTCAGCGCTGTCTGTAGCGGTACAGCGCCTCTTTGCACCAGTTCCAGGAGCCTGCTCGAATGTCTGGCAATAATATTATGCTGGCTGGCCGTCATGCATGCTACGCCTTGCCGCCCTTGCCTTTCTTCGTGCCCTCGTACTCGTCCAGCAGCTGCTGCGCCGCTCGCTCGAGTGGGCCGCGAGGCGCTGGCCCCCTCTTCACCGCTCCGCCCCTGCGGCGCAGCTCCACCACCAGCGCGTCCTGCACCGCCGCGTGCTTGCTGTTGAGGGCGAAGCTCAGCTTCACCATGCCTGGCTTGTTTTCCTTCGGCTTCGTTGGGCGGCACTTGCAGTGCATCGCCGACTCCTGGACCTCCTGCGCTCCCTTGTCCTTGATGTGCGCCATCCAGAACTGGTAGATGGTCTCTTTGCTCGTCTGCTCGCACGCCTCTTGGTTGATGCCCATCACCATTGCCATGAAGATGTGGGCGCGCGGTGGGCCGAGCTCCTCGAGGCCCCTCTCGTCGTTGCTCTTCTTGAGTGCCTGCGCCGTCTCGTGGCACGTGGCGCCTGCGGCCTTCGTGGCTTTGGCGACGGCGCCCTCGATGGGCAGGAGCAGCGTGACGAATACCAAGCCAGCGATGTCTCGCAGTTCGGCTGCGCTGGTTAACGCCAGCCTGGCCAGCACTGCGACGAGGCGAGCGAGAACGCTGTCGTCCTTGCCGCTGCCGCCTTGCAGCAGCGCCTCCACTGTGCGGTGCTTCTTGGCCTGCGACGCCCCCTCGATTCCCTCCGTCTGCTGCTTTGACTTGAGCGCGAACCTGGCGGGCTCGAGCTCCATCCCGAGTGCCGGTGCGCAGCAGGTCGCGGGGCGGCGCGCGCTCCTGGAGGCGCTGCTGCAGCTCCCCCAAAGCTCGAGCACTCCTGGCTACGGAGGTGGCGCGTGCGAAGTGCAGGAGGCGACCGTCCTCCAAGGTATGGGGATCGGCATTTGCAAACTCCTCCCCTGCCGAACGCTCTGGGCCACGTGTTTTTGCGCCGCCACCACCGAGCCGTGCACCCCCAGGCGCCCAGGGACAAGTATTGGTGATCACTGTGCATGTCAGGGGATCTCGAAGGCCGTGTTTTTGAAGGCGGTGTTGGTTGGCCGACTTGAATGTTGTGAAGGTTTCCCGGCAGTAGCTACCGTCCTCTTTTTCACATCCGCACACCCACGTCGATTCTACGTTCTGTTCGGGTTCGGCGACAGCATCTGCCATTGGGACCTGAAACGAGGACCATCCAGGAGGGGGAACGGCACAAGCGTAAACTCCTTCTCGCAGTCGTCCAAAATCGAGCGCCCCGAACTCCTCAGCCAAGTCGGGGTCTCTGAAGAGCCTCAAGAAACCCTCGCTCAACTTCTCTTTCAGCCATGCTATGTCGCCCCCCATCGCCTCCAACCCTTCCAAAATATCCTCCTTCACCCTCCTGGCCCATGGGTTGACCTGGTCTCCTATCTTCAAGTCGTCCCCCCCCGATCGTCGCGTATCGCTCGGATGGGTACTGACCGAATATCGCAGTAAGCTCCTGATCGTGATGGTGGGGTCTACTCGCGATTCTCTGCGATCGTTTTAGTCGTCGTACTCTGGCCTCCAGCTTGCATGGGCCATCCTCCAGTACTTCAATGCTTCTCCAGTCGACATGTGTTTATGGTTTTGCTCGCCCTCCGCCGTTGTCACGATCGAGTGAGCTGCACCTCTCATCGCCCTTCTTGCACATCTGGCCACGAGCTTGTCTAGTTCCTGCCAGTTGGCCTCTGTGAGGCAAAAAGCCCCGTTGCCTGTCAGTGCTGCGTTTTGTACACAGCATATCCGCAAGCCTCGACGGACTTTCCAGGGCGTGCGCTTCAAACTCCAAAACCTACCTAGAGCAAGTTATGATTGTTCGATTGCCTTTCGCCGCTTTTTCCACACATCCTAAATGGGGTTCTTGTTTTCTCTGCACACCCTCCGCGCAGGATCTCTCGTCCTCCTCCCTCTGCTCTGCTCCTCTTTGCTTCCTCCTCCGCATCATCATCACCATCACCATCACTCCCCACCCATCATCATCATCATCACCATCAGCATCACCATCCCGCGATCACTCACCATCGTCGGCATCGAACGATCATCATCATCAACATCATCATCATCATCATCATCATCATCATCATCATCATCATCATCATCATCACTACCCGGTGACTTGAGGCCTGAATATGGAGGAAGTATCAGGCGGGAGCCTCGTCTGTGAGTGAATTGTGAGGAAGTCTCAGGCGGGAACCCCCTCCCTATGGGGCCCGCAGATCATGTTACTAATCCGAGCGGGCCATCGGATTCCTGTAACTGTCGTCACTTTTGGGATCCTCAGGTCTGAATTTGGAAAAGTATAATGCGGGACCCTCGTCTGTGAGTGAATTGTGAGGAAGTCTGAGGCGGGAGCCCCCTCCCTATGGGGCCCGCAAATCACGTTACTAATCCGAGCGGGTCATCGGATTCTTGTAACTGTCGTCACCGTTGGGCTCCTCAGGTCTGAATTTGGAGGAAGTATCAGGCGGGAACGTCGTTTGTCAGTGAATTGCGAGCAAGTCTCAGGCGGGAGCCCCCTCCCTATGGGGCCCGCAGATCATGTTACTAATCGGAGCGGGTCATCGGATTCCTGTAACTGTCGTCACTTTTGGGCTCCTCAGGTCTGAATTTGGAAAAGTATAATGCGGGACCTTCGTCTGTGAGTGAATTGTGAGGACGCGTCAGGCGGGAGCCCCCTCCCTATGGGGCCCGCAGATCACGTTACTAATCCGAGCGGGTCATCGGATTCTTATAACTGTCGTCATTTTTGGGCTCCTCAAATCTGAATTTGGAGGAAGTATCAAGCGGGAACCTCATCTGTGAGTGAATTGTGAGGAAGTCTCGGGCGGAAGCCCCCTCCCTATGGGGCCCGCAAATCACGTTACTAATCCGAGCGGGTCATCGGATTCCTGTAACTGTCGTCACTTTTGGGCTCCTCAGGTCTGAATTTGGAGGAAATATCAAGCGGGAGCCTCGTCTGTGAGTGAATTGTGAGGAAGTCTCAAGCGGGAACCCCCTCCCTATGGGGCCCGCAGATCATGTTACTAATCCGAGCGGGCCATCGGATTCCTGTAACTGTCGTCACTTTTGGGATCCTCAGGTCTGAATTTGGAGGAAGTATCAAGCGGGAACCTTGTCTGTGAGTGAATTGTGAAGAAATCTCAGTCGGGAGCCCCCTCCCTATTGGGCCTGCAGATCACGTTACTAATCCAAGCGGGTCATCGGATTCCTGTAACTGTCGTCACTTTTGGGCTCCTCAAGTCTGAATTTGGACGAAGAATCAGGCGGGAGCCTCGTTTGTCAGTGAATTGCGAGCAAGTCTCAGGCGGGAGCCCCCTCCCTATGGGGCCCGCAGATCATGTTACTAATCGGAGCGGGTCATCGGATTCCTGTAACTGTCGTCACTTTTGGGCTCCTCAGGTCTGAATTTGGAAGAAGTATCAAGCGGGACCCTCGTCTGTGAGTGAATTGTGAAGACGCGTCAGGCGGGAGCCTTCCTATGGGTCCCGCAGCTCACGTGGTTCCTCCGGGTCATCCTCCGGCGCGCGCTTCCTCTGGGTCGTCCTCCGGCGCGTATCGGCTGGGACGCACGTCGTGCGCTTCCTCTGGGTCGTGTTCCGCACGAGGACGAGGAGGAGGAGGATTGCCAGGAAAAGGAGGAGGGATGATGCAGGACGAGACAGGAAAGCAGGAAGAGGAAGAGGCTGAGGGGAGGAAGGACGAGGAGGAAAAGGAGGAGGAGGAATGCCCGAGGAGGCCCCAGTAGGTCCCGGAAGGCCCAGAAGGCTCCAGGAGGCCCCAAGAGGCCCCAGGAGGCCCCAGGAGGCCCAGGAGGAGGAGGAGGGAGGAGGAGGAGGAGGAGGAGGAGGAGGAGGAGGAGGAGGAGGAGGAGGGAGGGGGGGGAGGGGGAGAGGGGGAGGAATATGGAAACGAGGAGGAGGAGGAGGAGGAGGAGGAAGGAAGCGGATGAGGGAGAGGGAGAGGAGGAGGACAGGGGATGAGGAGGAGGAGGAGGAGGAAGGGAGAGGGAGAGCAGGAGGAGGAGGCAGGAGGCAGGAGGGGCAGGGGGAATGGGGGGGAGGAAGCATAACGAGGGGGAGGGGGAGGAGGTGGAGGAGGCAAGAAGAGGAGGAAGAGGCAGGGGTTGAGGCAGGAGGAGGAGCAGACAGGAGGAGAACGAGGAGGCAAGAGTAGGTGGGAGAAGGGAAGGGGCAGGAGGATACCCCCATGCAAGCTAAGGAGATTCTCATGTGGGGTCCTTCCGTCGGAGTCATTTAACTCTTCCTCAAACTTGCCATTTATATGTAACTGAACTCCTAGATACTGGGCGCGAGGTTTAAACTGGGCCGGCAGTCGGTCCCTACCTGAGCGAATGTCCCGAGCATCATTATTCGAGCCGCGCCGAGCACAAGCTGGTAAAATCTCTTGTTTGTCCCGATTCTGTCTACAGCTAATCGTCTCCAGAGCCGTGTCCGGAGTATTGTTTTCTAAAAAACTGCGCTGGGCGAGAGAATATATTGAATCGGCGTCCTCAGCTACGAGTGTTTTAAAGAAATCATCTGCATACTGGCACAGGGACATGTCCACCTCCCTCTGTGTGAAGGGACTCTGCACTTTACAGTTGCCTACATCACTGCCAGTCTGTATCATCTGATGCTGCCAGACGTTTACCCCTCTTTGGAAGGCAAGGAGGAACAAACGAACAACGTACGGGTCACCCATAAAAGGCCCCGCAGCCGGTCCGAAACATCACCTCGTCTTCCTCACTGGGCAGCTGCACCATTGCCTCGTGGTAGCGCTGGCGCCCGAATTGCTCTAGCTCGTCAAGCACGAGGTCCGATTGGACATCATCAAACTCTGACCAGGAGACACTACCGAATGCATTACTTAAATCGTGCAGGTGTGTGATGCTCGTGCGTCCTTGTTTGCGCGCTCGCCACATCGTGCACTGTGCAACCGTTATCGCCGCCTCTTTCGAACGACCCTCGAGAAAGCCATGCACCTGTACATGCATGCGGGGGGCGACGCTCTGAATAGCGTACCATCCCCTCCCGAGGGGTGCAAGTAAATGGGCCGTCTCAGTTGTTTTTTTCCCGTTTTTTCAAGACCCCCCTCCCCCGCAGACCTGGCCTCTTTGGACTTGGGGAGGGTGACGCCTTTACTCAGATGCCAGTCACTAGAAGTTCTACCAGACTGCCTAATTCGTAAAAGTCCGACCTCCAAGACAGCTCGAAACAAGGGGGCGCTCACGGGATCAGAAGGGGCGCCTAAACCTCTGTGACCTTTTGTTGGGTGAGCCTCTGGGTTCGGGTTCAGAAGGATGGCCAGGAGCTCCAGCGGGGCCGACCAGGGAGGTTGTGTTCTTCTTTTGGGGGCCCTTTTTACCCGACGCTCCAGCCGTCGAAGGTCTCGAACCGCAGCTCGCCGTAGTCGTTCATCAAGTACTGCTGGCTCGGCGCCCTGTGGTTGGCGTTCACTGCGCCATTGGTCCCAATCGTGCATCTGTGTCGCCTGCATTCCACCGTCTGGTCCTGGACGTGACCAGTGTTCAGTCCACTTCTCCTCGGACAATCCCGTCGCTTTTACTGCCAAGATTTTTTTGTTTATAAAAAATCCCATAATTTGTATTTGCAGCCAATCCCGAGAGTCGATATACTTCTGCCATGTTACGCACTCGCCAACAATCCCATATCTGATCCAGTAGCTCTTCCTGGTGCACTTTCCATTCCAAATCCCGTTGTTTCTTCATATATGCTGATAGTTTGTAGTCCCTCGATGATCTCGGCCTCTTCTTTTTTTGATTGCTCATCGTGTCGAAGCCGATAATCTCTACGAGCTCTGAGTAGTATCATTCTGCGCTCTCCCAGTGCCTTGTAGCGTTCGTCCCACTCAGGATCTCGTGCAAAATACTGCTGCCCAACTTCAATCATAAGCTGCTCTAACCTCTCAATCCAAAAATCTGCAGACGTACGGTTATATCCAAAAGCGCGTCTCAATTCTGGTCAAGCGTCGCCTCCATGTCCTCGACGAAGGCGCGCTTGGTGTCTATGTCCGTGCCCGTGTACGCCTGCATCATTGCCTCTGCGCCCCAGGCAGGGGTAGCTAGCATCATTATTGCGTAGCTCACTGATGGTCGACATGCTTAAGTTCACATGTACTGGCAGGTGGTCGCGTCGCTGCTTGCCCGGTATCTGCTGTATCGAGCGGCCCAGGCGGGCCAAGGTCCCGCAGCTGGTCTCCCATCTTGTCAGGGCCTCTGGGATGCATACGTAATCCACCAGCGACGAGTTGTCCGCGCTGCCATACCACGTGTCGTCTGCCTTCTGCATTGTAGTTGCCACCAAGTGATGTCCTTCCAGTATTTCTCTGAACCGACTCCCTGCATAGTGTTCCCGTCGCGCACTTGGTTTGTACAAGGCTGGGCTGTCCAGATACTCCGTGCTCTTGCCGTTCTCTGTCACGACCATTCCCATGCCGTCGTTCAAATCCAGGCATATGATCGGTGAGCTTCTGCTCGGGGCCTGCTGCAGCTGTTCCTGTAGCCAATCCATCATGTCCACGCATTTCTCATATGTCGATCTGGTTTCCACTCGCGTCGGTCGGGGTGGTATGTACAGGTCTATCATAGTGAAGTCGAACTGCCGAGAAGCTAGTCTGACTGAAGGTCCTCGGCCTGCACATTGCTCGGGACTTGTGACCGCCCTCCGCAAGTGTCTGGGTTTGCACTTGTTGCCGAAACTGAAGAGCACGCCCGCAGACTTATTGCTGAAGTTTGCTCTTTTCCAACCACTCTCGATGCGCCACCTCTCCCCCGATCTCTGCTGCTGGATCGGGAGGTCGCACTTGCGCTGTGTGCCGATGATGCCTACGAAGTCATAGCTCTCACAGGCACTCTCGATGTCGTCTAACCTCTCCGCTGTGCGAGCCGTCAGCGGGTTGTAGTGCAAGAGTCGCCAGGCCGTCCGTCGTGTGGCTGCTGACGTCTCCGCTGCGCCCGCTGCCGCGCCCTGAGCGATCGCCGCCAGAAGGGCGGTCCTCATCGCCCGCGTGGCCACCTGCGGCTCGAGTGAGAGTCTAGGTAGGTGGGTCGGACGTGCCGCATGGGCACATCGGTGGCCGCCTGGCTGCACTGTCTGAGCCAGTATGGCGGCTACACATACATATGAATATATATATATACATACATACATATGCACATCTATACACATCGTACCCGCACCATTTGCCAAGACCCCCAACGTCGTGTTTTGTTCACAACGTCGACCCCGCCCAAATCAACTCGGACCGTGTCTGGGAGGCATAAGAACTACTGCAATCGGCGGATGGACCCGGAGCACGCCCGTTCGAGAACAAGGTCCAGGCACGAGCAGGGCGCGGAGCTCTCCAGAACGAGCGGCTCGGCGGCGAGCCCAAGGAGGGGAAGCGACAGGGGGCAACCCTTCTCAAGGGGTGACGGGGCTTCTCAGAAGCCCTCGGGCCTTCTGAGAAGCCTCCTGCGTCTTCGGAGAGGGCTCCAGAAGTTTTCTCTGGGGGGCCAGGAAGGCCTCCGCCTTCTGAGAAGGCCTGCGCCCTCTCACTTCCCCCCCTGCGCGCCGCCGAGCAACGGCTTCGGCACATCTGCCGTGTCTTACCCGGGAGTTTGGCAACCCACATCTCAGACTTTGGGGGGTTCGCGACTCGACGCACAACTTGGGGCCCAATTCGGCGATTTTCGATTGGGGGGGCGTACATCCTCGATAGCGTGCGTCCGAACAGCCCCCTGGGGGTGTACGTATCCCAGAATTTGCCTCCCCGATTCTGAGCGGCCAAACTTCTCGTGTAGAACTCGGAGGGAGGCCAGAATCGAATCGATGACGAGAGGCGGAGATCGGCAAGCTAGTAAGGCCGACATGGAGAGACCGAAATCCAGATCGGAGTCTGGGGTCGAATCGAATCGAAAACTAAATCGCGATCGTTCGAAATCGCATCGAACCGCGTCTGAAGAGTCGAAATGAACCCTAGAGATTGGAGGGGGGGAACTTGGGGGCGGCCAGGGGGTCTGAACTGGACGGGGCCCCAGAAAATCTACCAAGAGGGGGGCACGAAGCGGAATTTGTTCAAAATCGGTCTCCAGAACCCTCCGCGAGTCCGTCTGGTGTACTTGGATCGCCGCGGGGGGGTGCTAAAAGGATAGGGGGATACATGTGGACGTTAAGGTGGGTTCTATCCAGCCTGACCCAGCTTAGAAGTGGGTTGCACGTGCCCTGTGTAACGTAAGGGCGCACAGATCTGCGCTAAGAGGGCGGAGCACACTTAACAGAATTGCCTCATCATCCTGAGCCGCATCGGGCACTTGTGACCCACCTGTAAGTTGGGTCAGGCCAGGTAAACTCCACTTCAGCATCCACTTCTAACCCCCGCATCCCCTTAGCAACCACCGCGACGATCCAAGTACCTAGTTTTTCACTCCAGATCCGATGTTGACGGCCCCAGGCCCCGAAAGCGGCCCCTCCGGGCCGACAACAGCAGAACCTCCCCGGGCCCGGAACCTCGAACCCGCCCGCCCTTCCTGCTGGCTGGAGCCAGCGCTGGGCCACCTTGGACCCCCGGGACGGCTCCCACCCTCGGCGGCGAGCCCGGGGGTGGGGCGGGAGGGAGCAGGGTTCAGCCTTCTCAGAAGGCTCCGACGCCCCCAGGCCTTCTGAGGAGTGTTCGATCGAGTCTGCCCCGAGGACGCAGAAACCTTCTCAAAGGCGCGAGAGCTTCTGAGAGGGGCTCCCGCCGTCTGAGAAGGCCGTCTCCTTGTCACCTGCCCTTAAGTCGGGCGTGTCCCCCTGCAGGGGGATTTTCGACGAAAGATAAAAAAATCCAAAATGGGCCAAAAATGCTCAAAGCATAGTTCCCAGACTATTTTTTTGACGAACCATCAACACACACCCATACCCATAGGGGGGTCGGAGAGGGCTATGGGTGCGTGTTGTCGGATGGGGGTCCCCGCTCGAACGGGAGCCTTCCCCAGGGTCCGACAACCCGCACCCATACCCATAGCCAGTCCTCCTCTCAACGACCCCCCTATGGGTATGGGAGTGCGTTGCTCGTTCGTCATTTTTGAATATTTTTGAATATTCCTCCTGCAGAGGGACAGGCCCGACTTCAACCTGCCCCCCTCGCTCGCCGCCGAGAGAGCACTCCACTGCGAGCTTCGCCTCCCGATCCCCGATCGCCTGCCGGGAGAGGCGACGGCGACGCCCGGTCCCAGGCCTCGCGCGCAGACGAGCGCCGCGAGGCGCCTGCCTGGGGGGGGGGGGGGACGAGGGAGCCTGCAACCTTCTGTTGAGGGATGAAAAAACGACCCTACCCTGGGTTACAAGTGCGTGGTCTGTACACCTCCTGGGAACCCCCAAAGCCTAGAGCCGCCAGGACGCGGCACATCACGCAGGGTTTACCCTGTCAGCCCACAGGAGTTTCAGCGCACAGCGCCTCGTAAACCAGGGTAGGGGCGTATTTGATGCCCTTGATTATGTTGTTCCCATCGTACGTGAGGACCAGATCCCAGAACGAACTTCGAGCACCCAGAAAAAGCATCTCGTCCTGAGCTGTCGCTCTTCTGGACTCCGTCTCGTCCTGTTTCCTCCTCCTTCTCCTCCTCCTTGCAGTGCAAGCTGTGCTGAGCCAGTTTTCCCGCCCACGCGCCAGACGGCGTATGGCTTGCGTGCACGCACGAGACAAGCATCGAAACGGGGTCTACCTGGCACGCTAGCAAAGTAGCGAGTATCGCGTCCCAGGGCCTGGCACCTGAAAACCCATGGTGCCCGAATTTCCTTCTGGTGATCAAGGCAACCATCGGTTGGAACTTAAACCAGCGCAGCAGGACAGAGGGCAGAAGAACCACTTGAGCGACGCACAGGGACATAGATCTTACGCGAGACGGCAGGGCGTCTTCATGCGGCGGCTCAGGCGGGCCGCCAGCGCGGCACGCCAGGCAGGAGACGGTGGCGCTTCCGCGCGGCCATACGCGGGGAGTCTGCGCGCGAATGTCGGCGCAATCGGCCCCGTTTTCTTCCGTCGCTCACTTGGTCTGATGTGGTGGTGCGTGCTGGGTCAAGCACGAACTTCCAACGCTGACTGCAACGTTCGGTAACGGATGCTTCCGCATCTGACAACCGTGAGTGGTCTCGAGCTTCCCGACCCGGCTGACGCGGTAGCACGATTGATTGAGGTCTGGTCGTAGAAGAGCCGCCCTTCTCATGAGCACCCCCGACAAGCGAAGCCATTCAGGAAGCGCGTCCAAAAAGAGGTATCAGGCAGGGCAGGGCAGTTCTGTCCACGCCTGGGGTCGCTCGGGAAACGCCCATGGTGTTACGGATGCCACGACAATGGACACCCTAACAGTCCTAACATTGAGTTCAAAATGTGTTTACAATGTCGGATAAATGTTCTAAACATGTGTTAACAATGTTTTTACATGTTCAAAACATGTTTAACGCATGTTTAGACATCTGGAAATTACTTGGCAACATGCTTCCTCTCCATTGATCGTCCTCCACAACCATGGTGGAGGTCAGAGGTTGTTCCCCCCCCCTGAGAGGAGCCTCCGTGGCGGAGGCCAGAGTTAGGAGGCAACTACTGGGAGGTTTTCGCCGCCGGAGAGATTGAAGATTTAGCCCCATTTGGAAGCTGTTACGCCGGAGTGGGCCTCGGATTAAGCGGAATTCAGCAGGATGAGGCGAGACTCAGCGGGATCGAGCAGGATTCAGCGGGATTGAGCCGGATTTCGGACCAGGGCAAACTCAGAATTTTTGACATCCCAGGAGTGGCATCCGAACGTGGTGAAGGTCAGAGGTTGTTTCCTCCCCCTGAGAGGAGCCCCCGTGGCGGAGGCCAGGGGGACCACACGGCCCACGGACCAACGACGACGCTTCGCGGGCGGCAGGACCGACGGGCGGACGACGGACGAGGAGGCACCCGCGCGAGCGCCGCTGCCGCGCAGCCTGGGGGGGGGGGCCTGCCTCCCCCGGAAAGGGGGGGAGCAGATCGGAGGACCGCGCCGCATCGGCGATGCATCGACGGTGCGGCTCGATGTGGAGCCCGTGTTTCTCCACGCCGATGGCGCCGATCCATCGCCGATGTCGGCGATGCATCGCGGGTGCATCGCCGATGCATCGCCGATGGATCGGCGATGCGGTGCGATCCTCCGACCCCATCAACTCCGACCCCATCTCAGAGGCGTCTGTCTTCGCCAAAGTAACCAGAAAGGTGGTCGAATCAGATGAAGGGGTCATGGAACCAGGCCAGGCAAGAACGAGCAGCCCGGAACTCAAGGAGGGCCCAGCCTGGATCAAGCGGGATTCCGCCCAGATTGGGCGGGACTGTGCTGCATTGGGCAGGTTCTCGACCACGGATGCACCATCGCCGATGCTGACTCTACAATGCCAGGACCTGCATCCGGAAACAAATGAAGAGAAGGACCACGGTAAGACCAAGATGCGTCGACGATGATGCACACCCTCCCATCCCAAGCCCCCTCCACAACGGCTCGGGAGGCGAAGCATGACCATGCTACTTCAGCGCGGGCGCGGCAGCAAGGAACCCGGGAGCATCCTGAGCGCAGCAGCCAGCTCCTTCAGCGGCCGTGGGAAGCCACCGCGCACCGCGCGCGGCGCGAAGGCACCCAGGGGAACCCTGACGAAAAGCACGTGGCTTCTTGGTGCGCGCCCCCACTGTATGCTGGCCACCGCCACCGCGCCCAGCATTCGGCGGTGGACAAACCTCCCTTTAAGAGACCTCCCCTTAGTGACAACGGCCTAGGGCCGAAACCGACGGACCTGGACCCGCAAAAATGCGGCCGCGACGCCCTCTGGCGAACCGAAAACGGCCAATTCGCTAATCAACGTGACAAGGTAGGAGGTCTGTCCACCTCCGACTTCACGACGCGGAGCGGTCCCCGTTCGGCGACTACAATGGGTGCGGTTTGCGAAGGGTGCGGTTTGCCTCCCGTCTTATCTGCCCCTCCCGCCCCGGGGAAACGGATGACACTATCACTCAGTGCGACCGAATCACATGACACTGTCGCTCCTTCGAGTACAATGGGCCCACATCGAGGATGACAATGTCGCTCGAAACGACGACATGTATGACATTGTCTCCCACAGAAAGCCCCGGAAAGGCCGCCACAAAGCAGCTCGCAAACCGCACCCCAGCGTAACCGCACCGATTGCAGTCGCCGACCCTGTGGAGAGGCGGGCAACCCAGAGGGGCCAGAGTCCGGGCGGGGGCTCCCCGAGCAGAGGAGCCTGCTCTCCATCCTTCGGGCTGGAATGGTGCGGCGCCACGCATGGCAGAAATAGGAGACCGATTTCTGACCACACCCACTTCCCGAGGTGCCTTGCGAAAAGCGGTTTCCAGAGGTGGAGGTGGGCAGTTTCCCCGCCCCAGGGGAAGGAAAAGCTACCCACTTCCACCCCCGAGGGCCTATCATAGAATCGAGGATGCAGACGTGGATGTGGTCAGAAATCGGTCTTCGAAGAAAGGAAGCACCCAGCGATCCCCGAAGTGGGGCCGCCCTCCATGCGTGCAGCGGTTGCGCTCTTGTACATCCGAACGGACTATGATGCGACCGCCTGGCTTTGAGAAGGAACCGCCCACAGTGCGTGGAGCTGCTGGATGTGCGCAAGCTTGTGGATGCCATGTCAATGGACACTCTGACAATCCTGTCGTTCAAATCAACATGTGTATAGCATGTGTAAACCATGGTTTAAACAATATTATAAACATAGGTTTAGCATAATTAAAACATGTTTAACGCATGTGTTAGACATCTGGGAATCATTTGGCAGCATGCTTCCTCTCCACTAATCGACTTCCACAAGCTCAAGTCGAGTGAGCGCGGCGACGCGTCGACAGTCTCTGCTGCGCACGACCCGCCCTCCGTGCGCGCAACAGTTGTTGTCAGACGAGCGCGCGCGGCGCCAGCGCGAGCACCGACATTTGGAAACCACTTCCTTGTCGTCGCTCGGACGTCCATTCCCTGGGCGTTGTTCGATTTGTGCGTGTTCTTCTTGCTCGGTGATCAAGGGTGCTCTTCGATGGTCCACGCCGAGAAAACATGCACACGTCCGAGCGATGCCAAGACCCCCTTCCACCTGTGCGACTGCTGCAACTCGTAAACTCAAATGCCGTAAAGGGTGAAGGCTTGTCAGGCGAAACGCCTGGACCACCCTAACGACACGTCTGGTGACGCGACAGGTCGGAATCGTCTATGCGGAATAAAAGTGGAGATGGGGGAGGACGGAACGGAAGTTTCGTTTGCATTATCAACCATGTGAACCACATGACTCATGCTGGCGGCAGCTCGATGCCGACGCAGAACGGTGCATGCAGGTCGTCCACGGCTGCAAGGACGGGCAGACCACACGGTGGAACGGGCTCCGTCGCAAGGGGAGAGAGGAACATCGCCCGCTCAGGCCTGAGGCTCTGCGTGGGGGCTCGCCTGCCGCGAAGGGATGGCCCAGCCTTTGAGGCTGCGACGTGCGCGCAAGTCTGGGGTGGACGGCGCTGGCGCGGAGCAAAAACCGCGCATGAGCAGCGCAGAGCCGACCGCTTTAGGAGGCAACTCCAGGGAAGCCTTCGCGAGAACGAGCAGGGGCTGTGAGCGCGATGGAGGAGCCATTGAGCCTGATGAGGCCAAATTGCGCCCGAGACTAAGCCGTACTAAACCTGACTGAACGGGCATCAGCTGGATTAAGCCGGGTTCAGCGGGATTATGTCGGATCAGGCCTGTTTTCGACCACATATAGACCAACGCCGATGCTGATCCGCCCATGCCCCTCCAGCCAACTCAAGGGGGGCACTGCAGAGGCCAAACAACGCAGGAGCTGGCCACTGCTGCTACTGTGCCAAGCAGGGGCTGGTCAAATCTGCGGCATTCGAACGGGGGCATCTTGAGCCTAGCAAATGGATGCGTGTGGGATCCCGTGTGAGGCTGTATCGCACGCAGGCAAGTGCTCGTGGCTCACGGGGGAGCGTGCGATGCTAGTAGCATGATCACGCCACACAGACACAATGTTGTCCCACCTTCGTGGGCACAGAGGTTACTCGTAATGCAACCTGCAGCCAATGTGTGCAGGGCAAATATGACTTGAGGAAGATCAGGAGCTGGTAATGTTAACAGGGGATATGTCAACCCCAACCCCACGCTTCGTGGGGTTTTCGAACAGAGCGGAACTTCTGGGCCCAACCCTGGGATATACGTTCGGGGGGCGTCCATCCTCAGTAGGGGCGCGTCCGAATGGCCGCCTTGGGGTGTATCCTCAAATTCCTCCTTTTCTGAACGGCCAAACTTTTCGGGCGGAACTCAGGGACTGGGGAGAAACATCGCCTGCCAAATGTCGCTCCTGCGCCAATGGAACACAACAAAAACCACAACACTGTCATTCGGGCGAGTCCAGGATCAAGTCTGCGAATAGATCCCGTGTTCGAGGCTCCGCGACGACACACAGACCTCCCACGATGGCAAGGCGCGAACCCTTTGTGACCAAGGCTCCAAGACAGAAACAATCGCGAACAACACTAATCCGTCAGATTGTGAAGACGAACGCTACACACGCACGGATACGGTAAATTCGTTGCGGCGTCGGCGCGAGCAAAGGTTTTGATACCACGTCGGCCTTTCAACCTTGAATCGATCGAGGCCCCGATCGTTCAAGGTTAAATGCTATCGGGTTCAAGGGCGTTACCGTGTCCATCGGTGCTTCCGCGTCGCAAAATTCAACCATGAATGCCTTCGCCGGCGTCGCCGGCGCGCCAACGCCGCGTGAACCTACCGCAACGGCAGTTGCTCACAAAAAAAAACCTGAACCGCAGGTGGGAAAATCCGTGCTGCCACCGTCACCCGTTCTGAGCTGCGTTCTGACTTGAGCAGAGACCGACCGTCCCGGCATTCCTATAGTCCTAACACGAAATGTTCCTAGAACCCAGAAGTGTTCGAATAATAAAAACAATATTCTTTTGAACATAAAAAAAAACCCGATGCGATGAAACAAGACGGACTCCGCCAAAAATGTTCAAAGAACATTTCGTGGGAACCACAAAAGGTTCTTAGAACATTGCTTGGTTCGGTGATGGACAGACCTCCTTTTAGCAAAACGTGGTTTAGTGAAAACGCCCTCGGGCCCAAACCTGGCGGGCGCAAGCCTGGAGAATGACGGCCGCTGCGCCCTCTCGAGAACCGACAACGGCCAATCCACTAATCGACGTGCCAGGGTAGGAGGTCTGTCCACCCCCGACTGGTAGGGTTGTGGGCGAGCCAAGACGCTTCGCCACTGCTCGAGTCCCGAAGCGGCCCTCGGACAACCGGCCTCGAGCTCGGGCGCCGTCTGCGGCCGCGCGGGCAGCGGCAGCAGGAAGCCCCGCCGCGGGCTTGGCGCCTCCCCGCCGCCCCCTCTGGGGCCCCGCACCCTCTGCCCGCGGCCGCCGCCGCAGCCGTCGCCGCCCCCAAACCTCCGACCGCGCTGGTGACATCATGATCGCCGAGCGCGCCCCCAAACCTCCGACCATGATGGGGGCATCAAGATTGCCAAGCGCGTTCCACTACTCGCAAAATTTCAACTCGCAAACGTCCGAAAAAACATCAATCCGCTTCGATGAAAATTACTGTTATTGTGTTTATATATATATATATATAGTCACATGATATATATATATACACACATACATATATTGATCGTATGGGCTACGGAACGCGTCAAGGGTGTACCAACATGTAGCGCTGCCACTGTGGCTGCCAGGCTAGCGGAAACGAGCTGGCCACATGGAAATCTACCAGACCGTGCTTCTCTCCACGCGGGCCGGAGCCTGGAACAAACATGCGGGGCGCCCGCAAAACGGCACCGCGAGCTACCCGTGACGGTTATTGCCCGGGCGCTTTCCGTGCAGAGGACGAGAGGGGAGGAGGAGGAGGAGGAGGGGGAGGACGAGGACGGAGAAGGAGGGAGGAAGGGGGGACGCCCGCGGCGCATGATACGAATTTGCCCCGGTTCGTATCGGGCCCGCGGCTAGAGCGGAAGGGCTCGCGCAGAGTGCGCGCAAAACGTCTTGACTCGCGCGGCCGAGGGGGGCGAGGAAGGACAGAGGGGGGGAAGAGAAAGGGAAACAGACGCCAGCGCCGACTCCGAGCGCGCTGGGCCGCTGCACGCGGCTCCGGGGCCCGCGAAAGGAAGGGGGGGCGGCAAGCAATCAGGCGAGCAAAAAGGCAGCGGCAGGTCGGCTGGCGCGAGGGGGCGGGCGGCGGGGGGGCGGGGGAGGGCGGGGGGGGCAGGGGCGGCGGCGGGAGACGGAGGCTGGCGACAGCACGTCTAGGTGGCGTCTTGCTCGCGGTCTGGCCAGCAAGCCTGGACCTGCCTGGCGGCCCGACGCCAGAATTCCGTGCCGATTGCGGCAGCAAGGCGCCGGTGCCGCCACTCCCCGTCGGAACAGCCACGCCTCCGCGATTGTTTGATCGCGAGAGTGCGGAGGATGGCTGTCGTTCGGGGGTGGGGCCGGCCGTAGCACGTGAACGCCAGCGGCTGGTAGGTGATGTTCTGCCGTGCCAGGGCGTCCGCGCGCGGGCAATAATACTCGACTTCGCGTCGGTTTATGGCGGCCGCACAATCTGGGCCAGCGGCCACGGCGTCGGGCGAGGCCACGCCGACGTCGAGGGCCAGGAGACCGTTGCCCAAAGCGCCAAGGAGGGCGTCTGCCGGTCGGAGCCGCGTGCGCGGCACCAGGCCCGGAGCCTCCAGCTCGGAGCCAGGGTCGCAGACTTTGGCGGCGTCGTGGACTCGCCGCGCCACGGCGTGAGACCCAGCCCGGTCCAATAGGGCAGCGCCGCAGAGGCCGCAGGGAAGTGGTTCGAGAGGTCCTCCTGCGCCGACGCGAAGGCGGAAGGCCTCGACGAAGTCGGGGAGTCCATCACCAGGCCCGGGCCAGGAGTGGTCGCAGTCGGGGTGCTCGAGGTCGTCGAGCCGCCGCAGTGCCGCGTCGTCTCCCGCGTCCTGGTGCCGCTTGCGAAGGTCACGCCTGCCCTGCTCGTCGAGGTGGCGCAGGAGCGCCCGTTGTAGGTGCAGCTGCCTCGTGCGCGGGGAAGAGTTCGGGTGCTCGTCGCCTTCGTCTTCGTCAAAGGGAAGCAGGTTGCGGCCGATGCCCCGGGGGCGGGCGCGGCGTTCCCGCGGAGCTGCCGCGGGCGCCTCTGCGCGCGGGTCGAAGAAGAGCGCAGCCCACCGCCCCTCGGACTCCGCGAGCACCTCTGAGAGCGTGGCCACGACGAGGTCGCCCTCCGTCGGCGGCAGACTGAGGGCGAGGCGCGCCGCGGCGTCAGTGCGCTGGTCGTACGCAGCCATTATGACCCCCGTGTCACCAAGCCCTGTCTGCGAAGCGAGTTACCATCTTGCGCACGCGCGGCCTCGAGCATACGCGGCTGGCCACGAATGCGGCGAGCGACACCTGCGTCGCGGTACGCATGCCGAGCCCCCCTCTGCTCGTGCCGAGCGAGCACTGCTCCCAAGCCGCGTCAGGGAGGTCGCCTTCAGCCACGAGCTGCACCGCTTCGCGGAGGTCGGTGTCGAACTGCTCCAGGTCCTCTTTTTTCACCCTGTCCCCATTGAGCCGGAACTAAGAGGAGAGCTTCGGCGCAGAGCCACGTGAGCACCAGCTCGGTGGCGGCGTGCCCCACTTCCAGCTGGGCGAAGCGGGTGTCGCGGGCCTTGGCCAGCGCGCCTCTGACCTGGGCGTCAAGCGCTTCCGGGCTGCCGACGGGCGCGCCGAGGGCGAGAACGGGCCCCTCCGGGGCGAACGCCGTGCAGGTGTTCCTGACGCGGTCGGTGCCCCAGCCGTTGTAGCGGCGCCGGTCGCTGTCAGGGCAGAGCAAGCGGCAAGAGCTCTTGGCCGTGCCAGCGGCCACCGTCCCGCGCGGGCCGCCGAAGAGGGCGAGGCTCGCATCGGGGCTGCGCAGGAAGGCGTCCAGAGCGTGCGGGCGGACAAAGGCCTGGCCGTCGTCGACGAGCCACTGCTCGCAGGCGCCCGAGGCAACGGCTGCTCCCTCCGCGGGCGGTCCACTGTGGGGGGCGCGAGAGGCAGCGAGCGTGAGCCCCGCCTGCACCGTGCCGAAGCCGTCTCCCTGCTCGGCGCCGCGGTCTGTTGCGAAGGTCTCGCCAAACGCGCGGAGTGTCGCAGAGGGCTCGTGCTGGTGCCAGGAAGTCCAGGCGCCGATCTCGGGGAACGCCGCGCGGTCGATCGAGGACCGCATGGTGTTCCATTCCACGTTCCCGAACATGTTGACCAGGTCCACAGCCAGTGCAATCACGGCTGGGATCGTGCCCTGCACGGCCAGGTCTTCCACCGTCCTGCGCCAGTGCGCCATGGCCTCACAGGCGCGGGGCACGCCCACGCCCCACTGGTGAGCGGCGCGAAGCGGGCGCGGAGGGCCGGGAGGTGCTGTTTGGTGTAGCGCTCGGCGTAACTGGTGCGAAGCACCTCTCCCGTGTTGATGGGCCTCGGTTTCCCGTTGCGCTTTCGCTGCCACATGAGCCTGGTGCGGGTGAGCCAGCGCATGGGCGCCTGCAGCAGGTTGCTCCGCATGGCCGTGCGGAGCCACCCTAAGGCGCGTCGAAGGGAGGCGGCCTCGCGCTGTCGAGGCACGGACAAGCGCTCGGTGTGGTGCTCTGGCCGGGCGCCCGAAGGTTCCCCCGCGGGGGATCCAGGCCATTTGCGAGTAGTGACTTTGCGAGCAGTGGAACGCGCTCGTCGACAAAAGGTGCTGATGCCGCTGCTCCCCGGACCTCTGCCAGGGTTCCTTCCGGTCAGAATTTCGGGGCGAATCCAGCGGCGGGTGGCGACGAGGGCCTCCCACGGGAGGCCCCGCGGGAGTGAAGCGAGCGAAGAGCAGAGCCACGGATACCTGTTCCTCCTCTGAGATGTGCTGCTATCAAGTCCTGGCAGTGTGCCCTCGATCTGGGCCTCGGGGGCCTGCTAAAAAGGCCCTGGGGCTGTGGCTACTGGACCCAAGGATGTCGGGACCTCCCGGACAGCGGATCGAAGACAGTACATCGGTGGATGTCAGCACGAATGGCCACTACCGTACCAAATACAGGCCGGCCAATACCGTATCGCGCAAAACGGCCGCGACCACCGTGCTGGACGATACCGTACAGGCGGCGACCAACGTATCGGACGATGCCAAACCTTACCTGCCGCGTCCACTGCACCGGAGGACTCCGTACCGTGCCGCACGTTGTATCAACTCGGATCGTCATGTCGCCGTCGCCGCGGCACCGTCGCCCCCGTAGCCTAGCAGTGTTGCCGTCGCAGTCGCAGTTGTGGTATCATCAGCGTCGTGGTCTCGACGTCACCGTCAGCGCCATCGTCGTCGCCGTCGTCGTTGCCGCAATCGTCGTCGACGCCGTCATCGTCATCGCAGCTGTCGTCTTTGTCCTCATTACCCTCTTCCTCGCTCTACGTATATTCTCCTCCGCGGCCTCATCCCACGCCTACCCCCCTCTGGCCCCCTCATCATCATGATCCCGCCACCTCGCTCTTCCTCACCCTCAGCCTCATCCCCTAACCTTCAAAGGGTGACAATCGAGACAGCCGAGCGCCTCCGTTATCTTCATAATTCGTCCCCCCACCCTGCTCTGCATCCCCCCAATCCCACCCGTGCACTCCACCCCAACAGTATCACTAGCATCATCGTCGGCATCATTATTATTATATTCGCCCTCCACCTCCAACCTCCATCCCTCCTTGCTGCCAGCTCCGTCCACCCAACCCTCTCTCATACGTAGTTCCTCTTTCCGCAGTCCTCGTTCTCTTTCTCAGCCCGCCCAGTTGCTCGCCCCCCCTCCCCATGTACTCACCAACCTCCTCCGTCCATTCCACCTTCTCTGCCGCCAGCCATCCTCGCCCTCCTTCTCCAACGTCTCTCCCTAATTACCATCTCCACGAATCCTCTCATCTTCCCGCTCAGTCATACCCGCCTCCTTCTGTTCTTGATTCATCGTCATCCTTCTTCCCCTCGTCATCCAGCCCACCCTCCTTCAACCCCCCTTCCTCGCGATCCCAAATCATATCACCACTCTCCTCCTCCTGCACATCCTCCTCGCCCTGCGTGTTCCATCTCGTCTTCAAACATGCCCCCCACTCCTCCTCACAGCCAAGCTCCATGCTCCATGATTGTCACTTCTCCCTCCAATTCCTCGCCCCTCCCCACGGCCTCGTCTCACGCGTCCCCCTCCTCTCCTCCATCTTGTGACGCTTGCGACGCCGAGTGCGGTTCGCATGGCTGGCCAAATCACAGAAGCAACACTTCGCTCAAGACGACCGCTGCGGGGGAGGGGAGGGGAGGAAGGATGCTGGAGGCTTGCGTTGGGGGGGACGAGGGAAGGGAGGCGTCAACGTGCCTGCCCCTCTCCTCCATCCTGCGCCTTCGCCTCCCGGTCCTCTTCCTGTTCTTGCCCTCCCTCCGCCCTCCCTACCTCTCCCAAATTCCCGCTGCTGCCCCTCCTCCTCGTCCCCCGTGCCTGCTGATTCCTCCCTCCTCGCCCTCTCCGCCATTCTTGTCACACCCGCCCTCCCACCCTTCCTACCCGCCTATCCGCCCCCATTCCGCCTTGCTCCAGCATAACCTCCGTCCACATGTTCCCTCACCTCCTCCGTCTCTTCGTCCTTCTCCTCCCATCTCTCCTCCTCCTCCTCCTCCTCCTCCTCCTCCAATTCCTCTTGACTCTTGCCAGTCTGCGGGGAATAATGCCACGGACAGCCGTCGAAAAAGAGACACGGAAAGCCCCATCAGAGGAGGCCTTCCTCCGCCCCATCTCACCTCTCCTCCTCCTCCCCCTCCTCCTCCTCCTCCTGCGCTTCGGGCCACCTTTTCATCCTCATCGTCCCACTTCCTCTCTCTGCGTCCCTTCCACCTCCCACCTCCATCTCTCTGCGTCCCTTTCCTCGTCTCCTCCTCCTCCTCCTCCTCCTCCTCCTCCTCCTCCTCCTCCTCCTCATCGAAAGCATCATCATCATCATCATCATCATCATCATCATCATCATCATCATCATCGTCATCATCATCACCATCACCATCACCATCACCATCACCATCATCATCTTCATCATCATCATCATCAGCATCATCAGCATCATCATCATCATCATCATCGTCATCATCATCATCAGCATCATCATCATCATCATAATCATCATCATCATCAGCAGCATCAGCAGCATCATCATCATCAGCAGCAGCAGCAGCATCAGCATGATCTGCATCATCAGCATTATCAGCATCATCATCAGCATCGTCATCAGCATATTCATCATCACCATCGGCATCATCATCACCTTCGTGATCACAGTCATCATCATTCACACCCCTACCACCATCATCATCATCACCATCGTCGTCAACATCATTAGCATCATCACCACCAGCGTCATCATCATCATTTACCTCAACATCAACATCATCATCACCATCATCACCATCACCATCACCGTCACCATCACCATCACCATCACCATCATCATCATCATCAGCATCATCAGCATCATCATCATCGTTATACTCATCCGCATCAGCATCAGCATCAACAGCATCTCCACCACCACCACATTCATCGCTATCATCATCATCATCAACCTGCTGCTCCTTTTACTCCTTCTCCTCCCACCTCGCTCGTTGTTCCTCCTCCTCCGCCGCCTCGTCCCACCTCTCTTCCTCCTCCTCCTCTTCCTCGTCGTCCTGACTCCCCTATCATTCCTGCCTTGGCCCGCACTTTCTCCTCCTCACTCTTCTTCTCGTCCTCATCCTCATCATTAGATTCCCCCCGCCTCCTCCCACTACTCATCATCCTACGCCTATTCCCACCTCCCCTTATCATCCGCCTGCTCCTTCTCCTCCTCCTCCTGTCATCCACTCCCTTTCCCTGCCTCCTCGTGCTATCCTCCCATCCGTCTTGTTGCCCTCCTCTTCCTCCTCCCCCTCCCCTCCTCCTCCTCCTCCTCCTCTTCCTTCTCCTCCCCCTCCTCCTCCTCCTGCTCCTTCCCCTCCTCTTCCTCCTCCTCCTCCTCCTCCTCCTCCTCCTCCTCCTCCTCCTCCTCCTCGGCCTCCTCCCACCTCTCCACCTCTTCCTGCTATTCGGACTGTCGTAGTCCTCGGGCCTCCTCTTTCTCCTCCTCCCTTACCCCTTCCTTCCCCCACTCTCCTCGCAACCTCGCCGTCCTCCCACCTCTGCCCACCCCATGCCACCCCCGCCCACCCCTGAGGCCTCCGCCAACACTCCTGCCTCCGACGTTCCACGACTCTTCTCTCTCCTCGCCCTCATCCGGCGGGATTCCGTGCATCGGCCCGCGGACCCCTCCCGGGGTCCATCATCGCGGACAAACCTTCGAGATGCGTTCTATCCGTGGCAACGAGAAGCCCCGGACGAATGCGCCGAGGACGCCGTCGTCCCCAAGGCCCCCCCGAAGTCGCAGTTCCCTTCAGGTCCCAACCCCACTCCTGAGGCCGGCTGTTAACTCTGAGATGTTTCTGTTGACGTTCCCGCAGTCTGGCCAGGGCCCCTGGTGATGGTACTGGCAAGTCAAACACCGCGCGGTGCGTGGACTAAGCTAGGCACAAGCAAAGAAGACTGCGCCTGAATCTATGGACAATTGCACACATCTTGCTCGAAATGTTGCCGATAATGCCTCGCCGCGCGCTGAGCTGCTTGCTTCGGGAAATCGAAAATGTGCTGGGAAACGTGCGTCATATCCACGGCGAACTCCTTGCGTGGCCTGCCAACTCTCCTCGTTGAGCCGGCCGCCAGAAGGGGTCAGGGAGCCGGCGGCGAACGCGCACGTCCTGAGAGGGTGACCCGAATCTGCTCGTAGTACTCAACAAAATAACATCTTCTTGCGCTCGCCAGGGCGTGGTTTGCACGGGTCCGGACGTCGATGTTTGACACTCGTGAAATCCACGACGAGCCGACACCGATAGTGTGCCTGACGCGTCGGTTCTGGAATCCGCCCAGCCGCCGCAGCTGTGACTCGGTCAAGCACGGCTCAGCCATGCCGTACAAGAGCGTAGATTCCACAACAGAACTTTCGATGCGTAGCTTCCTTGGCCAAGTAAACACAAAATGTGGCCGTACTGTCCGCAACGTTGCCTATCGTTCGCCTCTTCTATTGTTCGGCCCAACTCGCCTCCCATGTCTGCATCTGCCGACTTGTTTGGTCCGAGGTATTGTAGATGCTGCGCCCGTTTGAGAGGCTTGCCGTTCGGGCCCGATCTGTTACTCTTGACACCGCTGCGAAAATTCTGATTTTCCCCAACGCAGTTTCATCCCGCACTGTGTGCGAGCACGTGCGATGGCGCGCAGATGCTCGATGAGGCGTGCTTCGTCTGACCCAAGACGAATCGTATCGTCTGCGTATACGCAATCGGGTGATTCGCAATTTTCGTACGCCTTCTTAGCGCCGCCGGCGAGCAACGCGACAGCGTCGTGTAGGAGCACGGTCATCACAAGGACAAACAACAGAGAGCTCAGGGTGCACCCTTGCGAGATGCCAGACACATGCGGTCTAGGATGGAACTGGTTGACACACATTCGCACCACGAGCATCCTCTGCATCATCATCGCACGGCCCATATCGCGGAAGTCCGACTGGACGCCCAGCCTTCGCATCGCGTCGATCAGGCTTTCGATGCGAAAGCTGTCGAAAACTTTCTTCCAATCAAGAGCAACCAGGGTGACAGCTCCTCCACTCTCTCCTGCACGATTTTCCAGCGCGGAGCTTCGATACTGCCCTGCGGAGTTCCGCGTCTGTGAAGCTGTGCTGGTTCACGTTCATCGGCGGGTAGACCGAATCCCGTAATTATGTCGGGCGTGAGGGTGGCAGGGCGGACGTGCCACTGGACGTTGCCGAAGTACTCGGAGAAAATTTCCGCGCGCTCGTCGGTCGCAACTGGCATGCCTTCCGTGTTATGGAGTCTTCCCTGAGGCTGGCCCTTGCGCTTCGATATCTTCTTGATGCAACCCCAGTCTCTGGTCAGGTTCTAGGGGCACTTGATGCGATCTTGCTTGGCGGACTTCTTCACGACTTTCTCAATCGAAGCTCGGCACCCCAGTCGCCAGCTGCTCGCGCTTGCCGGCGTTGAGCGATGACTTCAAGAATGTGCTCGGATATCCAAGGATTGTTCGGCTTGTCCTGCATGTCCGGGACTGCGGTGTTTACGGCGGCCAAGATAGACGCCAAGGACCCAGAGGCCAAAATTGGCATGAAGACGCCGGATGCGACTTTTACTTCAAGACGTGAGGGTGTCTGGGTTTTCCGACTCGCCATCCTCCAGTCCAGGGGCAAGAAAAGACGACACCGCCAGGGATAAGAAACAGGGTCGTTTTTCTTGGTGGTGTGGCGTGACCCTCCCGTTTTGCATCCTCCCGCTGGAGATGCGCCCACGATGCGTCGCGTCTGGGTCAGGCTGGCGGTGCCCGCAAATGTGACGGATGAAATTTCGCAACGCCCCTAATCACACCAGCCACCTGGGCGACAGGTGGTTTAAGGGGCCTTTTTCCTCTTCCACGAACCCTTTTCCCTTCGGGGAGGGGAGCCCCCCCCCATCCCCTCCCTGGGTTTTGTTGTGAAGGGGCCCGATGTGTCAGATAATATTTTTTTCGGCCGGTCACATTTTGACACCCCTCACGAGGATCGTGGGTCCCGGGGGAGGAGCTACATTTAGGACCCCCCCTCTTTTGACCGACCGCCCCCAAGATGGCCCCGAGAGGCCCTCCAGGGCTCCCAAAGAGGTCACCAAGAGGGTTCCACGAGCGTCCCAAGAGGCCCCCAAGAGGCCCCCGAACGGCCTCAGAGAGCCCACGATGACCTCCAAAATGGCTCAAGATGGCCCAAAATGCTCCAAGAGGACCCAAGACCGCTTTATGACGGCTCGATATAGCCAGCCCACTCAGACGTTCCAGGGCTTCTGAATGGGCTGACTGTGCGTGTGTCTTCCTCTCCCCCCGTCAGCACTCATGGGCATCGTCTCTGGATGGGCTGGTGAGGATACCTTTTTTGAATCAGCGACCGCAGGCGAGAGCGCCAGCGGCGAATCGAGTCAGAGCGGGCCGCGCAAAGAGGAATTAACCTAAAGCCGATGGGCCGGAGCCTCACGCGGCACCTCGGCGGGCAGGCCGGCGAGTGGAAGGGGGCTGGCTGCGGCTGCCAGGGTAGCTGCACTGCCAAGGGTTGCACGCATGCAACGAGCTGCAGAGGGGCCGACTGCCAAAGGGGTCGACTGCCAGGGTCTGGAAGCGGGTGAAATGGATGCAAACGGCGAGCACCCTAAGGACTGCGAAGTACCAGGGTGGCCAGCGCCAGGTGGGCCGATCCTCCACGAGGCGAATTGCGTGCGAGTGAATGGGCCAGCCGTAGCTGAAGCGCTGCCGAAATGGCGCGCAAGTGCGACCAGGGCGAAGCACCTCAGAGACCCAAAGGTGCCAGCCGAGGTCTGGCGGGTGCGGGTGGTGGCGCCAGTAAAGTCGCACACCCAAGCCCCGTATAAGAGGGGCGCAAACCGTGGTCAACCGTCCAGGGCTGGCGCCTGACGCGAACCGAGCATAGGCAGGCAAGTCGGCTGGCCAACACGAGCCGACCCCCGTACGTACCAACGTCTGGGCAACGCGACCAGTGACGCGCACCGCAGAACCGACTCCAAGACGGCAGAAAGGCGGACGCCATCGCAACAGCCGGGGTCGCGGCAGCGTGGTGGAGCCACGGGGAAATGCCCAGGCTGAACCACGAGCACCCGTAGCCCCCACCCTCGAAGGGGAAAACAACGCGATTTGCGCGGGAAGAAAGAACCGAGGCTGGCGGGGAAAGGTCGCACAAGCGCCAGCGGGAGAACCGGGAGACCAGCCGCGGGGGGGGCCGCCCCAGCACGGGAGGGCGCCCGTGGGCGCGATGGGGTGACGCGCCAAGGGCGAAAACAACTACAGCGAGCCGGAGGCCGGCGGGGGACAGGTGGACCGCAGCCCCAGCGGCAGTCCACGAGCCAGTATTGTCAGCCGGCCGCTGCCCGAGTCCCAAGGGCGGGGGGCAGCGGGGGCTGGGCAGAGAGTGGCACTAGGGTTAGCCGCACTGTCTGCAAGTCCCGCAACGATCACCGCGTCCATACGCGGCGCATTGCGTCTAGTGTGAAACAAGGCGGGGGCTGGTGAGGATACTTTTTGGTCGCGGCCGCGGGCGAAAGCGCACGCGGCGAGTCGTAAGTCCGGGGCGCGGGCCTACTAATTGACAACAGCAAACTGTAGCCGTCAACCTAAACTGCCTAAGCGGCGCTTCGCGCGAGCTGCAAGCTTTACTGAATGTGGATGCCAGTGCCAAGAGCAGAAAGCGCCCACACAGCGTCCATGCAAGCATAGCGGTGGCTGCCAGGGTGGCTGCACTGCCAGGGGTGCACACAAGCAACAAACTGCAGCAGGGCGAACTGCTAGGGCGGCTGGCTGCCAGGGTCTGCAAGTTGCGATGTGAATTCTAAACAGACGTCACGAAATAATTGGATGCGCATGAATTGGGCAGCAGAGGCTGCGGCGCGGCCAAAATGGCGCGTGGGCACCGCGATGTGACCAGCGTGGGCACCTCAGAGCGACCCAAGATGCCTGCCGAACCTGGCGGGTGCGAGCGGCGGCGCCAGCAAAGTCGCACAGCCGACCCACGGAAGAGGGGGCCGCAGTCCGCTGTCGATACCCCAGGATTAGCGACACACGCGAACAGACGGCGGCTGGTGAGGATACGCGAAACGTCAAGAATGTTTGTTTGGAGCTTTGCCCGCGCCTCTGACAGGCGCGATGGCCGCGTTTGCGGAGGGTGCCCTAAAGCGCTCGTTGCGATGGCTCGGGTGCGCTAAACGAGTTCTGTCCTGCCAGAGGAAGACCGCAATGCGATTGCGGTCCGAATCCACGGCGAACGCGACTCCCGTGAACAGTCTGGCAATGCAACGAGAGAACGAACAAAAACCGTCGCCGACCGGGGCGCCGCGAACGGCCATTCGACGGACATCAAAAAGCGAGCCTTACTTTTTCCAACGACGTTTCAGACACTTGTTCTTGCATTCCCACTGGGTTTCATAAGGGTTTTCACTGCAGTTCTCCTTCGTGATTTCGCAACGTCTCTCCGCGTACGCACTGTCTCTGGAACTTCGCAGATTCACCGTCGCAGCGTCGGCAGGACGACGTATTGGAACAAAGGCAAAGGGCAAACAAGGAAGAGGTGGCGATGCCCACAGTGATGGGTTGATGACCACGCCCAACACGCGCCCAATCATGGGCGTCGACGCCGTGAACAAAAATCACGACGTCGGGGGTCTGGGTCGGGAGGATGTATCGGGCGCCGCGGCCGTTCCAGAGCGCTACAGATCGCTCTGGCAGCGTTCCAGATCGCTCTGACAGCGATTTTTGGCCGAGATTGTGAAGAACCGAACTCTATACCTCGACGATTGTTCTGGCCCCGCACAGAAACTCGCACAAGAAAGCGGATCCTGGTGTATACGGGGAAACACGTTTACACCCCAGCACCCCCACGTCGCCCCCGACCCTCAAACATTCCTGGCACTGCAAAACAGCCCGCCACTGGCAACGTACACCCTGCGAAATGCTTAAGAAATCATGGGTTAAGAAATTCATGGTCTCAGGACTTGAACAAAACCTAGAACTTCTATCAAAATCTTGGGAATTACATTGAAAAGTTAAGAATAATCGAGACGATGGACGAAAACTTAAGTTTTCTTAAGCATCGCCTGAGGTGTATATGCTCCAGTTTCCGAGATTGGTCCCGGTCCTGTGCCCGCCCGGTCCGACTCTCTGCAGGGGCGGGGCGCCGCCTTCTGCGGGGCCTTCGGCGGCAGCTGCGGCCGCCGCCGCCCTGGCAGGGGCGTGCCCGGGCTGCAGGGCAGCGGGGTCTGGCCGCCGGCGTCCACTGGCAGAGGGGCGCAGCAGAGGCACCTGCACTCTTCGGCGCTGCCAGCCACGAGGAGCCCGGTGGCAAGAGAGAGAAAAACGAAGAAGAGGGAACGACGACGACGACGACGACGACGACGACGACGACGACGAAGAGCACCAACTATACCCAGACCCCCGGCGTCGTGAGCACCGGCTATACCCAATCCCCGGGGCGTCGTGCTCTTCTCTCGGAACGTCGACCCCCATGCAGAGGTCTGGACCCCTTCTCCCCGGGACCGGTCCCTCGTCCTGAAGCCTCGTTTGACGGTCCCGAGGCTCATTCAGGGCCCCTGCAGAGGCCGAAGATAGCAAAAAACCTCCCGACGATTTTTCACACGTTTTTTTGACGGCCCCGGAGCCCTGTAAAGACCCCCGGAGGCAAAAAAATTAGAAAACCTCGCGTCGCGACTTTGTTGCCAACGCGAGGGGGTCTGGGTACCACCCGCGCGAGGACAAAGCGGCAGGGAGACCGGGGGCCACGGAGCCATGGAGGCCGCGGCCGTGTCGCCCTGGGGCCGAAGGCGCACGCGCGCGCGCGCTGCCCTCCTGTTGTGCTGCGTGGCCTTGGCGTCTCACCTCTGCCGCTGGGGTAAGGGGGGCTGCGCTGTGGCAGGAGCGGGGGGGAATAGGTGTTCTTCGCTCTGCCCCGTGGGCCTCTGGAAGGCTTCGTACGACCGCGCACGTTTTTGCTAGTTCCACCTCGAGGCTCTCGTCGGAGCGCCCCCTGGACAGATCCATGGGGGTGGATGCTTAAGGGAGGGGGACCTGGACCTCCAACGACTTGGATTACTCAGGACGGACAAGTTCTGCCATGTCGGCCTCCCTGGACCAGAAGCCAAACGACACAATCCTACCTACGACCCGGCGAAGTTGAAGTTTCAGGCACTTGCCCACCCACGACATCCTACGACCCACCTACGACACCACCCCTCTTACGACCCACTTGCGACCCACCTGCGACCCAGCAGGTCGTAGGTGGGGTGGTGTCGTTTGGTTCTTGGTCGACTAGGGGGGGCGTTTCTGGGCCCTGGGGCTGTCAAACCTCTATCCGGGACGAATGAGTTGTTCCCGACAGTGGATATATTGGCGGGGGGGGATCCACGTTCTCCAAAAAAACACGTCGACCTTTGCACTAGGAGGAGACTGTTGGACTGGATGCTGCAATTCAGAGCTGGTGCCAACTACTTCTGTCCCACCTCTTCTTCTTCCTCCTCCTCCTCCTCCTCCTCCTCCTCCTCCTCCCCCTCCTACTCCGCGCCATGCCAACGCGCCCCGCGGGCGATTTTCGATCCCGCGCGCGCCGCTGCCGCTGCAGCATCTCCTCTGCATGCGCCCCAGGCTCGCTCGATTCTTCCGAGCGCCAGCTCAGCTTCCGCTGGCGCGAATTCCTCTACACGGCGCACCGAATTGTGCACGTGCAATGGCCGCGGCGAGCGAGCCCCGGCAGAGCCATGCCTGCGGGGGCGGTGCGGGCAGTGCAGTGCAGCGCCGCGGCGCCAGCCTTTTGATTAGGTCGGGCTTGTCCCCCTACAGGGGGAACTTGGACGACAGAACTTATTCTATGTTTTAAAAGTGCTCAACAATACCCCGAAATCAAAAATCATCCCCTCATTGTTTTTGGACTAGTTTTGAATATCCCCCCTGTAGAGGGACAGGCCCGACTTAACCTTTTGGTGGCAGCACTCGCCGGCGGAGGCGCGGGCTCGGCGGCCCGAAGGAACACAAAATAAAAAACAACTCGGCTCGCCCTGCATTCCGCGAGCTGGGAGCGACACGTTCCCGAAGCCGCCCACGTCTCTCGCTGCTGGTGCAGCCACAGACCGCCGGTGCACGCCCGCGGGCATGATCACCTCCAGGAGCAGAATGCTACGAGATGGCGCACCCCCTCTCCCCACCTTCACCCTCCCCCTTTTTCCTCCCCCATCCCTCACCCACTCCTCTCCACTCCCTCTTCGCCCCTCCTCTCCCCTCCCCCTTTCTGCAAGTTACCCCTCTCCCTTCCCAACGTTCACCCCTCCGCCCACCCATCCTGCCGTCCCCATCATCCCCTCTCCCCTCTCAACCCCCACCACTTCTTTCCTGCCACTGCCCCACTTTTCTTACCTGGCGCCTTCAAGCAGCCAGCCGGGGCATATTCGCGTCACCAGACATCCGGCGTGGCTACCCAACCATCCGTCTCCACCAATTCCCTGGAACAGGCTTTCCGTCCAGAACAGATTGTTGAGGGGCACCTGTGCCCAGCAAGGGCCCCCTGAGACTGAAAGCGATCAGAAACCGTTCGTCCTGAGGTATCCCAACCCTCCTACCCTTGGTTGGGTTCTCGTTCGGAAAAGAGCGCTGTGGTCTCAAACCTTCCTTCTCCGTTCCTCTCCTCCTCATCCCCATCCTCCCAATCCTCCTCCTCCTCCTCCTCCTCCTCCTTCTCATCCTCCTGCTCTTCAACTGTCCTGCGCGTTCTGCCTTCCCCTCCTTCTCCTCCTCCTCTAGGCGGGGGGGGAAGTGAGAAGGGACAGGCCTTGTCAGAAGGCGGTGGGGCTTCTCAGAAGCCCTCGGGCCTTCTAAGAAGTTTGTCGTGTTTTCGGGAAAAACTTAGACAACTCCTCAGAATGCCCGAGGCCTTCCGAGCCTTTCGACGAGGCCCGCCCCTTATCACTGCCCCCCAAACTCGCCACCAATCCTCCTCGTCCTCCTCCTCCTCCCTTCTCTCCCTCCTCTCCCTCCTCCTCCTCCTCCTCTTCTTCCTCCCCGCCTCCTCGCTTCTCTCCTTCCTCCCGCTTGCGCTGCCTGGGGGCCCGCGACCTGCAAGACTGTCGCCACTTTCGGGGGCACCTGGGAGGTTCCGCGGGGTGGTGTCTCTCCCGGAGCAGCGCGAGACCTCGCCGACCCTGGGAGGCTGCGCACCGCGAATCTGCCGTCTCTTTCGTGGGCCCCTGGGTGGGGGGTCCAGCGTGGGAGGAGGAGGAGGAGGAGGAGGAGGAGGAGAAGGAGGAGGAAAAGGAGGAGGAGGAGGAGGAGGAGGAGAAGGAGGAGGAGGAGGAGGAGGAGAAGGAGGAGAAGGAGGAGGAGGGGGAGGAGGTAGTCGCGTCCAAGGTGGATCAGAATGAGACCCCGCCGTCCCCTGGAGAGCTGCGCACTGCGAAACTGCCGCTGGTTCGTGGGCCCCTGGGGCGTCAGGCGGTGGGCAGTGACATACCCCAGCGGTGCCTGTGGCGTGTCCGCGTCGCCCGGTGTGAATGGTACTCCGTACAGGGCAGTTTTTAATACATCGGATTGTTTAAAATATAGGATTTTATAATACATGATTAATTTACGAATGAACTCATGCATGAACTCATCGTTGTTTTTAATAACAGATCCCAACATGTTTAATACATGATCCGCACGCGGAGCATGTATTAAAAACGGCACTGTACGATGTGGTCTCGGAAGCTTGTCACAGAAATGATGTTACCAGTGACCTCCCCAGGGAATGTCGTTCAGTACTGCCAGAGATGTGCTCCACATATTGCCAGGTTTAGCAAGCAGCAGAGGTGAAAGACGCATGCAGAGACAACTCCTGCTGAAATATGAAATCGAGAGGCCTGTCGAATGACCCAGAAGGATATGATCGCTCTTCCCAGCCCGCAGAGCAATCCGGTGGCGAGAGCGAGAGCGACTCGACAGGGTACTGTAATCAGATTCGATCTCGCGACGACGACCTCGAGAGCGTGTCAGCTTCCATGGCAAACCAGGGGGGCCTTCCATTCTCGTCTTGCTGGCCCTGGCGAATCGGCACTGCCTTGACGCGAAGGCACCCTGAGGACAGACATCCGAGGACACGCGAGGCTCCCACGAGCTGCAACCGAAGTCGCATCCCGCTCGGCATCGCGACGGCGGCTTCGAGAGCGCGTGAGCAACTGGCGCCCGGCTCGCCTCTCGCGAGGTCACTGCACGCTGCAGCCGCACTTCGACCGCGCCTCCCGGCGGCGCGCACGGGCGAGGCACCGGGGGAGGGGGGGATAGGCCCCTTATATAGGGAGAGGCCGCCTCGCAGAGGCCGCGGGGCCGTGCCTGCAGATGTGAGGCCCACCGCCTGCCAAGAAGCAGCCTCTTGGGAAGCGAGAAGAGGTACCGATGATTCAGCTGCTCCACCGGACGTCTCCCAGGGTGCGTGCTCACAAGAACTTCGAGGCGAAGCCAGCGGTGGCCGCGAGGGCCTCCCAGGAGGCCCCCAAAGAAGGGGAACGGGCAAACGGTAGAAAGCACGGGTACCCTTTTCCTCCTCTGAGCCTCCTCCTACCCAGACTCCCGACGTCTTGTTTTTTTTTAACAGCGTCGACTCCGAAAGAGCTGGACCCCAATTCCCCAGGACCCGTTTTCCATCCTGGGTTGTTTTTCGACGGCCCCGAGGCCCGGAGGAGGCCCCTGGAGGCCCAAAATGGCGAAACACCTCCCGTCGTGATGTTTCCACAACGCGAGGGAGGAGGAGGATGAGGAGGAGGAGGAGGAGGAGGAGGAGGAGGGGGAGGAGGAGGAGGAGGAGGAGGAGGAGGAGGAGGAGGGAGGAGGAGGAGGAGGAGGAGGAGGAGGAGGGGGAGGGGGAGGGGGAGGGGGAGGGGGGAGGGGGAGGGCCTTTCCCGCCCCTCGCCCCCCGTTGTCTCCCCTCTGCGCGCTGCCGCGCCTTGCGCCGCCGGGCCTCGGCCTCGAGGCGCTCGATCTGGAGGCGGAGCTCCTCGGCCAGTGCGCTCCTCGGGGGGAGGCGGGGGGCGCAGAGAGAGAGAGAGAGAGAGGGCGAGGCTAACATGAAGGGGAACTGGAACACACAAATAAATACACACAAATAAAAATATCCCCCATATTTTCCCATATTTTCTGGGTTTCTGTCTTCCCCCCCACTTCCCATATTTTCCCATATTTTCTGGGAATCGCCGATTAATTATGTCTGTGTGTTTCTTTCCCTCCTGACTAACATTAAGTCGGGCGCGTCCCCCTACAGGGGGATTTTGGGCGAAAAGCGAGAAATACGTATAGCACCCCGCCATTGCGGATAGGAGTGAGGGGGTGGCCGCGGGCGACGCGGGCGTCGAGCCGGCGGACCGCCGCGGGCGCCGAAGTTTTGGCTTGTTCAGTGAACGTAGTTTGGGTCGCGGGTGGGTCGCGGGCTCTCCACCTCCACCTGGAAAGAATTCAAAAAACAGCCCGCCGCAGGCGCCGAAAATTTTGATTTGCACGCTGAACGCGGTTTGGTTCGCGGGTGGGTCGCAGTTTCTCCACCTGGAACGCATGTAAAAGAAGCCCGCCGCAGGCGCCGAAAATTGTGGGTGGGTCGCGGGGTGGGTCGCGGGTGGATCGCGGGTGGGTCGCGGTGTGTCGCGGGTGTGTCGCGGGTGGGTCGCGGATGGGTCGCAGGGTGGGTCGCGGGTGGGTCGCGGGTGGGTCGCGGGATGGGTCGCCGGTGGGTCGCGGGTGGGTCGCCAGGGGGGTCTCGGGGTGGGTCGCGGGCGGGTCACGGGGTGGATCGCGGGGCGGGTCGCGGGTGGGACGACGACAACAACAAACAACAAACAACGAACAACGAACAACAAAAAACAAACAACAAAAATAACAAAACAACAACAAACACAACAAACACAACAACACCAACAACACCAACAACAACAACAACACCAACAACAACACCAACACCAACAACAACACCAATAACAATTACAATAATCCGCATCGCGGAATTCCACTTCAGCCACGCACCCAGGGACAGTGAATGACCGTTCGGTTCAGCCCCCTCACTCTGACTCAAACAATACCCCCCCAAATACTCAAAAATAGAAGAGAAAAACAAAAAAAACGTCCCCAAACTACTTTTTTTACTATTTGTGAATATTCCCCCCTGTATAAGGACACGCCCGATTTAAGGCTAACAGGGGACATGTCGACCCCTCTCCCACTTGGATCGCCGCGGGTGGTGCTAGGAGGATGGGGGGATTCGAGTGGATGCTAAAGTGGATTCGATCCGGCCTAACCCGGCTCAGACGTGGAGTGCACGCGCCCTCAGTGGCTCAAGGGTGCACAGATCGGGGCTAAGTGGGCGGAGCCCACCTAACGGAGTTACCTCGTCATTCTGAGCCACGTCGGGCGCGTGTAACCACTTAGAGTTGGGTCCGGCCAGATCAGACCCACTCTAGCATCCACTTCTGACCCCCCATTGTCTTAGCACCCACCGCGGCGATCCAAGCATCCCAGGCCTCGGGCGCGGGCAATATATGAACATCCACAGCCCCCGGTCCCTGTCCGCGGCGTACCTTTTCCTGTGCAAGCTCTTCGGCACCGCCTGCACCCTGGGCTCCGCCCGCCCCGGCCGCCGGAGGCCCCGCCTTCCTGTGCCTTGTCTCCCGAATTAAAGCTGTGCGTAGCCGCCTGGCTTTTAGCGGAAGAGGTTCGCTCTCGCCCCGCAGACCAGAAAATGTGTACACCCCGCGAAATGCTTAAGAAATCATGGGTTAAGAAATTCATAGTCTCAGAACTTGAACAACAACCCAAGATTTCTATCAAAATCTTAAGATTTACATTGAAACGTTAAGAATAATCGAGACTCTGGCCGAAAACTTAAGTTTTCTTAAGCATCGCCTAAGGTGTAACCATGTCCAGTGCGTCGCAGGTTTCTGGGGAAGGGAGCCCGACACCCCAAGCTGCCGTGGATGTGGACAGAAGTCTCTGCCGCAGCGGGCGCAGTTCGAGAGGACCAAAAACTTGGGGTCCGACCCTGGGATATACGATGGGGGGCGCCCATCCTCGATACACCCTGCGAAATGCTTAAGAAATCATGGGTTAAGAAATTCATAGTCTCAGAACTTGAATAAAAACCCAACATTTCTATTAAAATCTTAGGATTTAAATTGAAACGTTAAGAATAATCGAGACTCTGGCCGAAAACTTGGGTTTTCTTAAGCATCGCCTAAGGTGTAGGGGTGCGTCCGAATAGCTCCCTGGAGGTGTAGCCCAGGGTTCCCCTCCTTTTCTTGGCCGCTGCATTCTTGGTCGAAATAGTCGGGGGCTGGGACGTAAATATCGCCTGCGAGCTGCGTCTCCTCTGGCAGCTCCTGGGAGCCTCCCATTACGACGAGGCCAGGACGAGGATAAGATCGGGTGAGGATAAATCTGAAGGGGCCCTGGGACGCACATCTACACAGACAAATCCCCATATCCCCTATTTATTCTCATATTTTCTAGATTTTCGTTTTCCCCCCCCCCCCCCCCTTTCATATTTTGAAATACTTTCCTGGAAGTCGACGATTTACTGTATCTGTGTGTTTTTCTCCCCCTACTGACAATCGGATTGTTTTGCGATTTGGCGCCGTTGTGGAGGAGGATGCCTCGGGCACGGCGGCCGTCCCAAGGAGCTCCAGAACGCTCGGAGATCGTCCTCGACCGCTCTGGAACGGACTCATCTCTGGTTGGCCCAAAAGGAAGTCCAACGAAAAGGGAAAGGTGCAATAGACCTGGTGCAATATGCTTGCGGGGTTGCAGTGATCTTTGGGTGCGCGATATATTTCTGGGCGCATATGTAATGCTGGATTTCCGATTGCAACGCATTCGTTGCAAAACAATGCAATACAATTCTCTTGCGCAAAAAAATGCAATACGATTGCCCCAAGTCTATTGCACCACCCCCTTTCAGCTGGAACCCCTGGTGGGTCACAAAGATTTTTCTCGTCCCAGCACCGTCTGGCCCATGCCATCTTGATGGCCCTTGCGCCAATCGGCGCTAAACTGATGCTGGTCGGCACTCATGGACGCGAAGTTGCCGCTCCCGGATCGACTGCCACACGCTGGCGCACGCGAGTGCACTCTGAAGACAGAATTCCGAGGACATGCAAGGATGCAGCGATCTGCTACCGGACAAGGCGGCGTCTGAGGCAGAAGGCAAGATCCCCAAGGTCTTGGCGACTTTCTTTTCGCCAAGCTACTTCCAGGGATCAAGCCGGACAGGTCGAGGCGAGTAAGGATGAATCGCGGTGAATCAAGCAAATCGTGGTTGCTCCAGCGCGAGTTGAGGGACAGCGGAAGTCGTTTCGCCCTTACCGACAAAGAGAGAGAAGGAGAGCAATGGCGAGCGAGGACGAAGACGGGCAACGATAGGGGGGGACCCGCTTAGGGGGGAAAGTATTGTGCTGGACTCGGCGATACGTCGACGATAAATCGGCGATCTGTAACCGATAGCGAATCCGCAGACGAGGACAAAAAAAGATCGACGATGAGAAATGTAGTGGTGGTGAGGACTAGCAACTGAAAGCATAAGGAGGAGGAGCAGCGGCGGAAAAGAGCATGATTGAGGAAGGAAAACACGCTGAGAAGAGGAGGCCGGCATGGAACATACTGGGGAACGGAAGGATGACACAAAGCCGAAACGTTCCCTGCTTTCTGAGCTCCGGACAACCCAAGACGGCCCCGGATAACTGCAAGACGGGGCGGGGGGGGCCCCCAACACTGCCCCACGAGGTACCCAGGACGACCCAAGAAACCTTCAAGACGTCCCGAAACCGCCCCGAAAGGGGGCCCCAACGCTGCCCCAAGAAGGCCCCCAAACGACCCACTAAAACCCTAAGTCGACACAGCACGCCCCAACGAGTTCCAAAGAGGTCCTCCACGCCCCCACAAGTCGAGGGAACAAAGTCGAATACAAGAGCCGCTCGAATGCAGACCGCACGCTGGATCGCAGTGGGCAGTTCACCCAACCTCATTCACGATACACTGCTGCGCAAACGCGGTGGCGGGGTTTGCCGTGTGCAACTCAATACGTACAGACATACGTGCATACGTCCAAACACATTTGTATGACACATGTACACAACCATGGGAAGCTCACGCGCGCCTACGATAGACATATATGAATATATACACATACATACATACATACATACAAACATACACACATACATACATACATGTATGCATGCGTGCATACATACATACCTACATATATACACAATCGCAACCGTGCCGTTGGGCAAAGAGTGGGCGTGTTCTCAGCTCCATTGAATCTCCCCAGGGGCCTCAACCCTCGACCCTGAAGGTTCTTAAGGGGCCTAGTCCCCGAACTCACACATGTATTTGTGTTTGGTGCGGCTTGTCGGGGGTTTGCCGCGGTTTCTCGCGTGATTTGTGTTTGGCCCGTTCTAGGGCCCTCTGATGGCCCTAAGACGGGCCGAGGGGGCCTCAAAAGGCATTCGCATCGGCCCAACGGGACCCAGAAATGCCTCAATACCCACCCTAAACACCCAAACGGCGGGCCACGAGCAACGCATCGCTGCTGGAAGCTCTGGGGGAGCTCGAACACGCGCAGGTCGCGCTGCACCGCCTGCGCCAGTGCCCATCCTTCTGCAAGCTGGGCAACTCCGCGCGCGCGGTGACACCCACCGCGCACACCGCCGCCTTGGTGGTCATGGGCGACGCTGTACGGGCCTGCCTCGAGCATCTGGGCGGCCGCTCGCACCTTGACGCCTCCTGGCAAAGTTCAGCTCAAGCTCGACGAGGGAGGACTCGGCCTACGCTCCGCCGCAAAGCACGCCGCCGCCGCTTGCATCGCTTCCCGAGCGAAAAGCACCGACCCCTGTTGACAGCTCTACCCTGGCTGCTCCAGCGGCGCTGACCGCGACAGGGGGGGCCTGGCGGCTGCGGTTCAAACCCGCAACGCAGTCGTGCGGGGCGCCGACCGGGTGGTGTTCCACCACGCGCACCGCGGCGCCCA